TGCTCGCAAAACTTTACAAACTGCGATGAACACAAGACCCCCTGAGCAAGGCAATACTGTGTGTGACTTGATAGAGACCCACCAAAACCCTCATAGCAGCAGTGCAGGTTCTGGGTTTTGCTTGGGTTTTAAATCTGCAGACACCTGAAGTTTGGCTGGTGGAAGAGCAGACACTTTGTACATAAACTCAAGCCTGCTTCACCCGAGAACAGCTCCAAGGGCTGCGCGCATGCTGAGAACCGCTGCAGGATGTGGGAAGTGTCTGTACCAGAATGAGAACAGGAAAAAAACAAACCTTTTAAGGTTGGAGCCCAAGGAGGCGGGAATTCTGCCTATTCTTTCTGCAGATGATGAATTAACTGCCATCACTTTGGAGGCCTTCAGAGGAGACATGGATCCTTCCGTGCTGCCCGAAGTGTTCAGTCTACAAGGAGTGCAGAGTTTTAGGATGAAGCCAGAGTTTCATAACTGAAATGTACACCCCAAACAATCAGCCTGTCACTAATGACTGGTATTTCCAACAGCGGGAATTCTCCAGTCCGGAGGGGTGAGAACTCAGCAGCAAAACCTCAGCAGTTTGCCTGTTTTCAAACATGTTATCAAAAAACTTTTCGAACAGCCCACTCCCAGGTTTTGCCCTGCTGTACCACACGATGCAGTTACAGGCTACTTCTCACCCTGATAATTTGGGAAACGTCCATTTGGTATCAAGATACTGTAAACTTGGTGATAAGTTTTAAATACTGTAAACTTGAGAAAGAACACTTTCTGTGCTCGTAAAACAAGTACAAGTAATAAAACCAGCGCTAACAGCACAGATATTGGAAAACGTGGCTGTGGAAGTTGTATCAAGAACAACTTCAGGGGGGTGCCTGAAGCAGAGCTGTGCTCCCTGTCCATTGGATTTATTTCTTCCCCCTGTTTTCAGGCATTGAGAAAAATCTGTTACTTCTCAGAAGCCTGAAATTGCTAATCCACCGATGTGGGAAGTGTAACCCAAACCACTGAAAACTCAAGCACTGAGTGGTAATACATGTAGAACTAGGAAGGTAATACCTGAAGGGTTGTGATATGGACCTGGTGTGCAGCTTCATTTCTGGCAGCCTAAAGAAAGCAGAGCAGCAATCTTTATCAAAGGGTAAAGAAGCCTTTCCCCAGCCCAGACCATACCTGCACGTCTCATACTGGCTGCAGAGTACAGACTAACAACAGTCAGGCATCACTGACAAACGATTTTGATTTACAGTTAAACCATACAAAGTCCTTCAGGTTTACTTTCAAACTCTGCATTTGCACTGGTTCTAAAAAATTCAACGTTTATATACGGAGTACAGAAAAGTAATTACAGAAAGATAACAAAGTTCACTGAAGAATATTGTTTGGGACAGAAGTTACTCGATAGATCTAGATTTGAAGGTTTGAGATAGTTACTTTTAGTTGGTCTGTTACTACATCGGTATCTGGAACAGGGAGACAGCGGGGAAAAAAGGAAGAAATGAATAGACCAAATCTGCAACTAACAGATCTATAGCCAGAGAAACTGCACCGCAGAGGGTGGTACAAACATTGCCTCTGCCATGAACAAGGCCATGTACTCGCCATACGGACCTGACAGCGCAGCCTGAGTTCAACACCGCAAATTACCTCAGAATTCATTCATTACCTTAGAGCTCCAGTGGAGGCAGAGCACAGACGTCTCCGGCTCTTTAAGGCGTTCAGCTTATCTCCCTGCGTCATGCCATTCGGATCTTCCACACCTGCCTTGTCTTCAGACTCATCCTGGGAAACACAAAGCATGCAAGCAGGGAACTACATCAGATCCCTCGGAGCAGTAGCGTCTCCTTCCCAAAGTTATAACCTGAAAGGCTCATCCAGAGCCTTCTGCCCACAGGGGGCATGACCCTGCCTTTGCCCACTCCCAGCAAGCCAGATGTCCCTGTGCATGCACGTTCCCGGTGGCTTTTGCAGAACCCAACCTCAAGGTCAGCTCAGGATGCTGGAGTAATACCAGCATCGACTTGCCCCACACAAACTCCCGCTCCTTCCACCACACTTGTTCCCATCCATGTGAAAGGGAAGCACCAACACACACCTTTGTGATGTGTGCAAGGTAAGGAAGAAATTTAGATACAGTTTTGTGTCCTGCAGGAAGGGCAGAACGCTAACCAGGATGAAACATGGGCAGAAGCAGTAACACAGCAGAGGTCAACCAGTGAGGGGATGGGCCATGTGTCGTGTTGCATTAATTTTAGGAGAAGTATTTTAGGTAGATTTCATTGAAGATTATATGCTAAGCCATTGCTCCCTATCATTCAGCTCCCATTTTTGGGAACAGGAACACTACTTGGATTTCATTTGTAGAGAGCCTCGTATAATGAGGTCTTGAAATATAACCAAATATCCATAAAGAGAGAAGTTAAATGTGTTGAAAACCAAGTGTTAAACAGTTCTATTACGACACCAGTAAAAACCAGGAATGCGTCTCTTACAGAGGGTTGCAGCAGCAAGGAGTTTATACTGTGAATCTGTACGCACGCTGCTGCACAATGTTACAGAATTAGCTGCAAGTAGATTTCTAGGAGGAAAACTGATTATTTTTTCCCCCTCCTTTCTCCAATAAACTGAAAGCCCCGAGAGAATGACTTGAAACAATGCAAACCTTTTCAAGTCTGCAAAATGACCTGTGACAGTTGTAAATATAACCTGGGGTTTTTTCTTTTGCTTGAAAAAGTGAAGATTTGGTCTAATTATGACCTATTAAAGACACTGAGCTGTGAAAAAGCCACCCAGTACTAATACAAGCCTAAAAAAATATCGAAAAACTACCTGTAGCTAGTTACTAAAGATCAGCTCCATCTCTGCTTGTCTGACCTCCTACCAACCCTTACCTCCCTGTACTGATCCAAGTCTTGAACTTTGTTCAGGCTGTCACTGATTGAAATGTCCTTCAGGCCACAGAGAACTCTGTTAATGTTCCCATCAACCACTCGCTGCTTCTGCTTCGATCGGATGAGATCGCCCTCCAGCCACAATATTGCTTGCTTCCTTTGGGATACAAAACCAAAGAAACTCACATTACCACCTCTGAACACACATAAAAGCAAGATGAAAACGTGCTACTCTCAGACTGGCAACATTTGAAGCTTCTGTACATCTTCATCGGGAAAGAATTAAAATGTTTACTATTAAAAAAAGGAAATGGCAATTTTCAATGGTTAAAAACACCACCACCCTCCTGCAGAATCACCAAGTCTGCAGCCACCACAGAGCCATCACAGGTACTAAACCCTCACTGTACAAAATCCTATGGGGAAAAAAGCTTAACTAAACAGGAATTTACAATGGTATTTTAAAGGCTTTTAAATGCAACTTAAAATTCATATAAATAAAGCTTTAATATACACAAAATGTAGAATAAATGATGATACAGCACTTTCCAGCTTCTTCCTAGCATGAGGTTTGCTTACACAGACGTTGTGCAGTAAAACTACAACTGCCCGGCTCAGCGGGGCTGGTCGCAGTCGCATGAAGGGGACCAGGACTCTAGTATCAATTTTCATAAAATGAGAGATTATATCCTTCAGACAGTAAAAAAAAGTAATTTCATTGCTACAGTGTGCATGGGCTAAGCAGGCTGTTGCTGATGGGACTGCACCAATTGAGACAGCCAGCATGGCTTCACCACAGGTGAGTCCTGACAGCCCAGCCCAGTGGCCTTGTAGGATAGAATGACCACAGCAGGGAGCAAGGAAGAGCCACAGATGTCATCTACCCGTGCTTCTGAGAGGCCTTTGACACGGCCCTCAAAACAACCTTCCCTAAACTGGAGAGACAGAT